TGCAACCAAGAAGACCAGATGACCTGCTGCAGTCTCCAGCCAAACCTCTGCCGCATGACTTCAAGATCAGCAGGTGTAGTACTCACACAAACGTTGTGACATAATCAAACAAAAAAAATTTGTTCACATACTAATGAGCATCTACCTTTCTCTATGGTGCTTCAGTAGTCAGAGGGTGTCTGTAAGAGACTCCAGCAGTCCTTCCTTTCCGTTAACCTTAGTCCCTTTGACCCAAAACCCACTGGAGTCACCTGCAATGGTACTAAAACCTAGGATCCTCCCACTCAAACCTGGTCCTCCAGGATATTTTGCTGCTACCGGCCAGGACATACTGCTTCCTCCATCTTCATTTACTGTCTCAGTATCACATGGCAAGGTAATCATGATGCTGTAAGAACACTTGTTTGTTCTTAGGCTAGGACAGAAATAGGTTTTGTATCTTTTCCCCCCCGTTTTTATTTACTCCGTTACTTATTCTTGTTTTTGTTTCGTCATCTTGCCTCCTAGTAGAAAATTTGTATTTTGGCTTAAATGTGAATTTCCAAAACAAATTCTGTTTTACAGCAAAAAATCTTAAGGAATCAGGAGCGCCTACTGCATTCTACTCATTTCACTTCCCACCTTCTTCCAAAACAAGGTAAAAAAACATAATCTTTCATAATATGAAGTAGAGCTGCACGATTATTCATTAAAAGATCGCAACCTCAATTCAAACACCCACACAGTCTTACTCCTAAATGACAACAATTCGACTATTAAACCTTTGACAAGTACGATCACAGCGAGCATTCAAATCTCCATTGGCACTGCTGCTGAGCCTGAGAGAGCAGGTGTCATGAAACCGCTTCACAAACAGTCTTTTCAACCACAGTGTTATTTTGTCTGTTACAATAATTCAAATTAAGATAATAATAATAATAATAATTCATTACATTTATATAGCGCTTTTCTCGGCACTCAAAGCACTTTACATAGAAGGGGGAATCTCCTCAACCACCACCAATGTGCAGCATCCACCTGGATGATGCGACGGCACCCATATTGCGCCAGAACACACACCACACCACACAAGCCAATTGGTATATATATATGGGGATGATTAGGAGGCCATGATGGACAGAGGCCACTGGGCACAGAGGCCACTGGGCAAATTTGGCCAGGATGCCGGGGTTACACCCCTACTCTTTCGAAAGACATCCTGGATTTTTTGTGACCACAGAGAGTCAGGGCCTCGGTTTAACGTCTCATCCGAAGGACGGTATGAAAGTTTATAATTTGAGTAGCATTCAAAATAGAGGAAATCACCTTTTGAAAGTAACTTGACACTATAAAAAAAGATTGTATCAATTGCATTGTTACACCAGTAGGTGGCGACAAGTGACTGTTAAAAATGGGTAGGTCATTGTTTTTTTTAACGAGATTCGTTAAAAAACACAGATTCATCCAGTAATGAAACAAGTGAAGTTTGTGTGATTGAGTCATTGAATCATTCATTCAAACTGATTTAAAAAAAAAAAATATATATATATATATATATATACACTCACCTAAAGGATTATTAGGAACACCTGTTCAATTTCTCATTAATGCAATTATCTACCAATCACATGGCAGTTGCTTCAATGCATTTAGGGGTGTGGTCCTGGTCAAGACAATCTCCTGAACTCCAAACTGAATGTCAGAATGGGAAAGAAAGGTGATTTAAGCAATTTTGAGCGTGGCATGGTTGTTGGTGCCAGACGGGCCGGTCTGAGTATTTCACAATCTGCTCAGTTACTGGGATTTTCACGCACAACCATTTCTAGGGTTTACAAAGAATGGTGTGAAAAGGGAAAAACATCCAGTATGCGGCAGTTCTGTGGGCGAAAATGCCTTGTTGATGCTAGAGGTCAGAGGAGAATGGGCCGACTGATTCAAGCTGATAGAAGAGCAACTTTGACTGAAATAACCACTCGTTACAACCGAGGTATGCAGCAAAGCATTTGTGAAGCCACAACACACACAACCTTGAGGCGGATGGGCTACAACAGCAGAAGACCCCACCGGGTACCACTCATCTCCACTACAAATATGAAAAAGAGGCTACAATTTGCAAGAGCTCACCAAAATTGGACAGTTGAAGACTGGAAAAATGTTGCCTGGTCTGATAAGTCTCGATTTCTGTTGAGACATTCAGATGGTAAAGTCAGAATTTGGCTTCAACAGAACGAGAACATGGATCCATCATGCCTTGTTACCACTGTGCAGGCTGGTGGTGGTGGTGTAATGGTGTGTGTAATGTTTTCTTGGCACACTTTAGGCCCCTTAGTGCCAATTGGGCATCGTTTAAATGCCACGGCCTACCTGAGCATTGTTTCTGACCATGTCCATCCCTTTATGGCCACCATGTACCCATCCTCTGATGGCTACTTCCAGCAGGATAATGCACCATGTCGCAAAGCTCGAATCATTTCAAATTGGTTTCTTGAACATGACAATGAGTTCACTGTACTAAAATGGCCCCCACAGTCACCAGATCTGAACCCAATAGAGCATCTTTGGGATGTGGTGGAACGGGAGCTTCGTGCCCTGGATGTGCATCCCACAAATCTCCATCAACTGCAAGATGCTATCCTATCAATATGTTGAAAAAAAAAAAAAATGCTTTCAGCACCTTGTTGAATCAATGCCACGTAGAATTAAGGCAGTTCTGAAGGCGAAAGGGGGTCAAACACGGTATTAGTATGGTGTTCCTAATAATCCTTTAGTTGAGTGTATATATAAGTTATTTTTGCTTGATTGTTTTCATTTCCGTGACATATTTACTCTTGTCATTTTGTCCGGGCTGTAGGTATGCACGAAAGATTACCTGAGCAGGAAGAGGAAGATGAGGCTGTGGATGTGGAGCAAACTGAAAATCTCACCAAAGAACTACTAGATATTAGACTGGAAATGCAACGATACCAGCAAGACAGAAAACAGTTACAGTATGTTAATCTGGCTTTCAATGGGATAAATATACAGTGTTTAGAATTATTATTCTAATTATTAAAGTTGTTAGAATTATAAATACATACACACATATATAATTGTAGATTTGCATACTATTTTTGTACTTTTTTTTTGGTTTGTTTTTCTGATGTGATCCTGCTGTAAAGTCACAAATCTCCTAAAATTGAAACCACTACTTTGGAAATGCATTTTATGACTGGAGCTGTTTTTTGTCTTTGAAAAAACGTGAATTGACCCTCCAGCTGTAGTTTGATTGAATCAACATATTAAAGTGGGTTATTTATTCTAGCACACACAAACTTGGCTTTTGGAATGAATAGTTGTTTCTACTATGTTTGAGAGACTGAGGTGAAAATATTTGGGTTCTTATTAACATGTTAAATTAGGGAAAGGAATGTTTTGCTTTTCTATTTTTTGATCGAACAAAAGAGGTATAACAAATATCATCACCTTCATATAAAAACATTGCACCTAATGAGATGTTTTTACCAATATAGTGAAATCAGCCTGCGTTTGTGTGTGTTTAGGACATGGCGTAAGCTCCAAAAGGTCTTGAGTAACTGGCTCGCAACAACAGGCATTGAGGGAGAGACTGAGGAAAGAGAAAGCGTCTTAAAGGAGTTAAGTGAGGTATCCATATATCTTTCTTTCTTTCTTGCACACACTCGTACACAAATTCACATCTTTAAATATGTACAGTAAAGGATTAACAAATAAGTCGTGGCAACACTCTTGGTTCCTCAGACTGCACTATTGCACAGAGGACACTGGTGGTTTACATTTAACACGCATATTTTTACACGCATAGAATTTACGTAAACATAAATCTAAATGCTCAAAACCAGCTGTCAGGAGTGTCACTAGATAAATGTTACAGATTGCATAAACCCTTGCTTTTATGTATGATGTGCAATACTGGAAAGTTATAATATGGAAAATATTAGACATTATTAAGATCTGATATTAGTGATTAATAATAAATGTTACATTTATTATCTTTATGCTTGTCATTACTCCCTAAGTCTAATGGATTTTGTGCATGGTGGTCTATATAAAATATCTTTATAAATATTCTAGTTTTTGCTCTGATTAGACCGTAGATATTTGTTAATCTCTGGTTTTGTTTATTTTAATTTTCAAAGTAATTTTTTAATATTATGTTTCTTTGCAGCTTGAGAGTCGCATTTCTTCTCTATCTTTGAGATTAAACAAGCAGAAACCCACCATGATTTGCCATGCTGCCAGAGTTAACACCATCCAGAGCCAACTACTACTCCCCATGGTTAATACAAAAACTCATACCAAGTTTGGAATATAGACTAAGACTATATTGTGCAACCTGTTATTCCAGAAATAATTCTAAACAATATTGTATTTTTGTAGTCCTTGAGTCAATTTAAAACCTTTTTTTTTATTCCAGTTATTTATTTATTCAAATACACTGTTTTAAATACTTCATTTGTAATAAAGCATTAAATCACATATTTTGATGTTTTGAAATTGCTTATTTAACTTGAGATCCTATGGATTACCTGAATTAAAATTATGTTGGCCTTTGTGACATTGGAATGCTCCCAGCTATCAACAAGGAACGTTCTCGGAACTAACTTTCTGGATGTTTCAGAATGTTCAAAAGTATTGTTCCCATAATGTTTGCAATTATGATAATTATGTTAAAATAAATGTTCACTTAATGTTCATATAATTCCATGATTCCCCCCCCCCCCCCCCCCCCCCCCACACAAACACGTTTTAAAGACATTTTAAATAATAAATGTTGAACCTTTAGAGAACTGTAGAGTGTTCAGAAATAACGTTTTGATAACTTAATAAAGTGAGCAAAACGTTCTTGGAGCATATTTTTGTTAGTTAGGTTGGATCCTATCTTGGAATCTTGCTACACCTGGACTCCGTTGCTGCTTCAATGAAGCGTTAAGTCCAGTAGCATTTAATACCATTGATAGCATTTAACACAATTCCAAACAAAAGGCGCTTTCTGGAAATTCCATAAAACGCCAAAGCAAGAAAATATGCCTGGACGAGAATGTTCCACGTGACACAAGAGTTCCAGTAATATTTTCCATATGCGCACATTTATTATAAGAACTATTCGCTTTGGAAACACCCGCTTGCCCAATACATATTTTTTTCAGACTCGCGCAAAACAATAAGATCTTCTGTAGGCGAAATGCCCGTTCAACTGAAACTTCTGTTCAGGACTCGATGTTAAACAGTTACTGTGATTTTATTTTTCCTAGAAGAGATTTCTGATACTATGATGAAGCGAGTGGGAGTTATTGTTGTCATTCTGCTGTGCACCATCACCAGCTGGGGTAAGTGCGCGCTTGCTAAAATTAAGAAAAGCATCAAAATAATTATTAAAAAAATTCTCAGAGCTTTAAACGTATTTCAGGATTAGGGAGTAAACAGAAATGTCAGCTGCTCTGCCAGAACTTTCAGTAGCATTAAATGGTTGCAAAATGTTGCTCCCAATTAACATAGCCACATTTTATTCTGAACATTGCTAAATATATATATATATATAGCCTATATATAAATGCACACGCACTTTAATCTACTCAGGGTGATATCACTACAAATTTAGGAGAATGTGTTATTAAATTAGCGTGCGTAGCGAGGTACCGATTTTATTATGTCAATCAAGAATACATTAATAAATCCTGTAAGTTTTAAGTTATTTAAGCCTAAGTAATGACATTATTTCATATTGTTTAACAAAAGTTTCATATTTCCAAATAAATAGATTATGAGCCACAAATAAATGCAAAGTGCTTGTGACATAAAACATATTTCTAAATATTTTTTATTTGCAAATGTCATTTTATTTATGAATTTTTGTAAAACTCCTAACATGATGGCTTGTCGTAATCCCATTCTATTTATTTGTGAATGTTTCATTTCTGTGAATCTCTCTGGAATTTGGAATTATGAATTCTAATACTAATCATACAGAAAGGTGCTATAGTAGGCCTAATCATCTCAGTAAAAGCAACTTTGTGGTTACTGAAACGTTAATTGAAAACACTGTGAAAGCTATTCTATTTGCAGTATGTAACAACAACAAAAAGTCTCCCATCACCAGAATATTGAAAAAATCCCCCTCATTGGTATAATTGCAACGCCTTTTAATGTTAGCAGCTCCTTTTGCTGCATTCTTTGGTCTTTAAAATCCTAAGATGGTTTCCCACCATAAAAATATTTGATTTGTCAAACTTGAAATGTTCTGCAAGTGTATGCCTGAATACCTGGATTCAGGTAAGAAGATCCGCTGGTGTACAGTATCAGAGCCGGAGCAGAGAAAGTGTGCAGATCTGGCTAAAGCACTGGTCGCTGTCCTTCCACCTGCAGCTGTCACAGCCTTCGCACGTCTCTCGTGTGTGAAAGCTTATGGGACTGCTGACTGCATTAATAAGATACGGGTGGGTGACGTATGATACCGCATAAGCTCAAATCTATTTTAATTTAAAAAATCAACCCCTGAGACATAAAAGTAGATGGTTTACATTCTGCCACTATCTTTTATCAGGATAATAAAGCTGACCTAGTGACTCTGGATGCTGGAGAGGTCTACTCTGCAGTAAAACAGTTCGGTCTCACAGTAGTCGCAAAGGAAATCTACAGAGATGGTATACAAAATCCTAATGTAGTTTGCACTCTGCTAGCACTAACATGTAAACATCTTCCTTTTCCACTTTGTCTCCTCCATCTCCTAGGTGGCTGTATTCTTGCAGTCGCGGTGGTGAGGAACAATAGTTCTTTTAATATGCGCTCTTTGAAGGGCAGTAGGAGCTGTCATAGTGGAGCTCGCTGGACTGCAGGTTGGAGTCTCCCTTTGGGACATCTCCTTTCTCGAAACCTCCTGCCCTGGGGAGAGGATGAGCCCCTCAGTCAGGGTAAGACGACCGCAAATCATAAGTTGTATATAAGCAGTGTTATTGCTGACTAAATTTAAAACTATTACAAAATATTTCATTAATTAGAATTATTCATTATTGTTAATTGAAATAAAATAAAATATACACTCACCAGCCACTTTATAGGTACACCTTGCTAGTACTGGGCTGGACCCCCTTTTGCCTTCAGAACTGTTTTAATTCTTTGTGGCATAGAATCAACAAGGTTCTGAAAACATTCCTCAGAGATTTTGGTCCATATTGACATCATCCACCAAGTCCCAAAGGTGCTCTATTGGATTGAGATCTGGCGACTGTGGAGGCCATTTGCGTAAAGGCCATTTGGAGGCCAAATTTGTGACATGGCACTTTGTCCTGCTGGAAGTAGCCATCAGAAGATGGGTACACTGTGGTCATAAAGGGACGGACATGGTCAGCAACAATACTCAGGTAGGCTGTGACATAAACAATGCTCAGTTGGTACTAAGGTGCCCGAAGTGTGCCAAGAAAATATCCCACATACCAGACAGAATGGATCCATGCTTTGATGTTGTTTACTCCTAATTCTGAGCCTACCATTTGAATGTTGCAGCAGAAATGAGAATCTCACTCAAACCAGGCAACGTTTTTCCAGGCTTCTATTGTCCAATTTTGGTGATCTTGTGCAAATTGTAGCCTCAGTCTGTTCTTAGCTGACAGGAGTGGCACCCGGTGTGGTCTTCTGCTGCTGTAGCCCAACTACATCAAGGTTCGACGTGTTGTGTGTTTAGTGATGCTCTTTTGCAGACCTCAGTTGTAACTGTAACGGTTGTTTGAGTTACTGTTGCCTTTCTAGCTCGAACCAGTCTGGTTCTCCTCTGACCTTTGACATCATCAAGGCATTTTCACCCACAGAACTGCCGCTAACTGGACATTTTCTCTTTCTCTCTGACTGTTCTTTATAAACCCTAAAGATAGTTGTGTGTGAAAATCGTAGATTAGCCGTTTCTGAAATACTTAGACCAGCTCATCTGGCAATAACAACCATGCCACGTTCAAGTGAAGTTAAGTGACATGTAAAGGCCAAGTATGGTAACCCATACTCAGAATTTGTCCTCTGCATTTAATCCATCCAAGTTAGTGCAGTAGTGAGTAGTGAAGACACACACCCGGAGCAGTGGGCAGCCATTTTTGCTGTGGTGCAGAGGGAGTGATTGGGGGTTAGGTGCCTTGCTCAAGGGCACCTCAATCGTTTCCTGCCTGTATTGAGAATCGAACCCACAACATTGGGGTTACCAGTCTGACTCTCTAACCATTAGCCCACGACGCCCCAAAGTTTCTTAAATCACCTTTCTTTCCCATTCTGATGCCCAGTTTGAACTTCAATCATCTTGACCATGTCAACATGCATTGAGTTGCTGCCTTGTGATTGGCTGATTGGATATTTGCGTTAACGGGCAGTTGAACAAGTGTACTTAATAAAGTGGCCGGTGAGTGTAAATATTACATGAAAACCTTAAACATCAAAATCTACTGTTAGAATCTCTAAGGATTAAATGGATTAAGTTTTAAGTGATTTCCCAGATTTTTGTTGTTGTTTGTATATTTCCAGTCACTTGGTAATTTGGGTCATAACCTAGGGAGTATTCCGTCATGTTCTCCCAAACTAAACAAACAAAGTCTTCAAAAATATGTATGATTGTGTCGAGTTCCCAGTGCTCATATTTTGACTGTTTTGTCAGCGGTTAGTGCTTTCTTCAATGCCAGCTGTGTGCCTGGAGCAACTACAATGGCAGCCAGCCTTTGCTCCTTGTGCCAAGGTCAAAGGTCATACATTCGTCAGAAAAATTTCCATTGTGAGACATCTCACAGTGAACCATTCTACCACAACCAAGGAGCACTCAGGTTAAAATAATCCTATTTACGTCTGTATCAGTGAGTCACTGCCAAGTTACCTTTAGGATCTTACTGTCTCACTGTTTTTCTTCCAGATGTTTGCAGTCACGGGCAGGAGATGTAGCCTTTGTGGATCACACAGCTCTGGACAGCATAGATGGTTAACACAATGAACTCTTACACAACGTTTTATTTCAACAAATTGTACATTCATGGTGTAACATTTATGCTTATATGGGTGCACTAGTGATTCAATCCTATATGATGAAGACCTCTCTTTCTCGTTTCTATTTGATCACTTTACTCAACAGAAAGTGAGAAAGATGAGTTCAGACTGCTGTGTACAGATGGTACTCATGCTCCCCTCAGCAGTTTTAAAAGATGTAACCTTGGACGAGGCCCTGGAGGGGGTGTGGTCACAAGAATCAACACGCGTAAAATTGCCCGAAAGTTCTTGGTCACTGCCCAGGTATGCTTTGTGGTGAAGGGTAAAACTGACACATAAAAATTGTCTGATCCGACCATCCTGTACTGTAAAGTTTTAATTACAAACCAGAAATGTCTCAATCTCTTTTTATTTATTTGCTGAGCAAAGAGGGTGTCCAGACTCGGTCCTGGAGGGCCACTGTCCTGCAGAGTTTAGCTCCAACTTGCTGGAAGTTTCAAGTATGCCTATTAAGACCTTGATTAGCTTGATTACTAGGAGCAGGATTGGACATCCCTGGCAAAGAGATGCAAAGTGAAATGTATGCAGGATACATAATGGTAAAATTAAAGTATAAGTCATTTCAGTAACTACAAACTCAAACCTGACACAAACCCAGAGTCTTGTAGTAAATGGAAAAACTTATCTTAAATGGGTACAAAATGAAAATTCTGTCATCATTTACTCATCCTCATGTCATTCCAAATATGTGCAATATAAAAGAAGACACTTAAATGATTGTCCCAGTGAGTTCATTTTTGGGTGAACTATCCCTTTAAAGAGATTGTCCCACTACAGATTGATGGTCCTGCCGGTGTCAAGTTGACCTCAGGTTCCTGGCGATGTTCCTTAATAATGTTATTATTATCTTGGCTGATAGGATTTCAGTATCTTATGAGAGAGAGAGAAAAATCTTTGCTGCTTTGTTTTCTTTTGAAGATGTCATTTGGTTGGAGGGGAAGGGAGCGTCAGCGCTTCCAGCTGTTTGAATCAGCAACCTATGGTTGGAGTGACCTTCTCTTCAAAGATGTGACTGAGAAATTATTAGTTCTGATGGAAGACATGGATATGAGCCAGGTTCTTGGACTGGACTATGTGGCCTTGCTCAAGGGCCTTGGACATGAAGGTGAAAGATTGCTTCCCCTCTGTAACATATAATCTTGGAAATGATAAGCTTAGACTTTAGTGTGTGTGTGTGTGTGTGTGTGTGTGGTTAGGTAGCTCGCTGGAGGACAGTGTGGTGAGGTGGTGCTGTATAAGTCATGCTGAACAGAAGAAATGCGAGCAGTGGGCTCTTAACATAAAATCCGATCCTCTGGTGTGTGTAAAAGCCTCATCTATGAGTGACTGCATTGAGAAGATCAAGGTCTAGTAAGACAATTTTTCAGCAATTGTGATTTATGTTTAAACAAAAATCTATAACAAACATCATTTTATTTATACTCATTTATTTTAGATAAAAAATATTACAGAATACAGTTTCATCACCAAAAATATTTATGGCCTGTACATTTTCTGAGTTTAGCTTTAAAAAATATTTCAGTTTGAGTTATTTTAGTACTTCTACTCAAACCTATTTTATTTCAGCTATTTGCCATTGGCGATTGCCTCAGTATCAGTGAATATCTAAAACAGAATCAACTGTTAATTTTCACAGAGGGATGAGGTGGATGCTGTTTCTCTGGATGCCACTCATGCTTTCATAGCTGGGAAATGTGGCCTTGTCCCTGTGGTGACAGAATATTATGGTATGTAACACATCCAGAGTCATACTCACTCATGTCTTCAAGTTCATCTCACCCTGATTTGTTTTTCTATTTGTTGGTTCATTTGAAATTTAGGAGAGAAATGTGAGATTCCTGAAGGAGCAGGTGGCCATTTTGAAAGTGATGGTAATAAGAAATAAAACAAGCTTAACATAAATGATACATCCCTATTAGTATGTCTTTACAAAATATATTTGTCTCTTCAGAATTACCATCAGTGTATGGTGTGGCAGTTGTTCGTCGGACAAGCCGGAGTTTATATTTTGGAAGCCTGGGTGGTAGACGCTCTTGCCACGGTCACATGTACAGCCCTGCTGGCTGGGTTTTACCTGTAAGACACATGCTTAGCACAGAGCACAACAGCAGCGCCCCCTGTGAGCCGAATAATGGTACTACATTTTCCTTTCTATTGCATGGTAACTTTATCAAACTGTTCAAATATATGCCCTTTTACAAAGTCTTTGATTTTTGGGGTCTTGTACTTGAATGTACAAAAAACACATTTATTATTTTCCATGTTTTATATTGTTCCAGCAGTGCACCTCTCTTCCCAGACTTTCAGTAACGCTCTGTTTAGTTCCTGTCTCTATGAAGCACCTCCTTCTGAAAGAGCAATGTGCTCTGATTGGCCAGCTGGATCAGTGCCCTGAGCAGGAATTAACTCCCTTCGGAGTGGAATTTGTGCTCAAATAGCAACATTACACACTAAAAAAGTTGAAAATGTAAAAAAGCGTAATAGGTCCTATTTAATGTTACTCTCTGTTTTCAGTGTATGCTGAGGTGTTTTGGAAAGGTTGTTTGCCAGGAGGTCAAGGCAATCTATGTAAGGTGTGTATGGGTGGGACTGAAGAAGCTGCCACCAAACGGTGTGCTGACAACCATAATGAGCGTTACTATGGCAATATGGGTGCATTAAGGTGAGGAACAGTTAAAATAAAATGGTGTACAGGAAAATATATCTGATCACCCATTGCTTGTGTATTATAGTGCAACCATACAGCTTTGCAGGCTTTAAAATGTCTTTTACTCCAGATGCTTGGTTGGAGACCCCAGTGGGAAGAGTTTTGGAGATGTGGCCTTTATGGAACACCACAATCTGGAGAGCAACATTGAACGTAAGATGTACACAATGAGAAATGTCATCGGGATGAATCTCATTGATGATAATGTGTGATATGTTTGATGGACAGGTCTAAACACCAGTGGCTGGGCTGAGGGTTGGCTTACTTGGGACTTTGAGCTGCTTTGCAGCGATGGCAGTCGGGCTCCTCTGACAGAATGGAAGACCTGTAACTTAGGGGCAGTCCCTCCAAATATTGTTATGACACGTCCTGTTTTTACAGCTCGCATTTATGACCTCTTAATGAAGTCACAGGTCTGCACACTGAAATTATAATCATCTGATTGATTTGTGAGTCTTTTAGAATCCGAATACTGATGTGTTTTGCGCTATAGGAAACCATAGCAGCTCGTTCAGATACTGGGTTCCACCTGTTTGAGTCTCAGCAGTATGGAGAGAGTGACCTGCTCTTTAAAGATGCTACAAAGTGCCTCGTTCACACAAGTCACGTGGACTATCGCACCATTTTGGGAGACGAGTTCTATTCACAGGCTGAAAGCATCTTTAACTGCACACACTCAAGTAAGAATAAAAAAAAAAAACATTATTATTGTATGCATTGCATACCAATTATTTGTTTCCATTTATAATATTACGATCACTGGATTTTTAAAATAGTTTGATTTTATAAAAATGCACATAGGTAAAATGTCTCTTATTTCAAAAATGATTCATGGATATTTTAATTGCACTGTAATTTATCTCTTTTTCTTTTTCTTTTTTTACAGATATCTTACAGTTCTGCAATCAAGATGTGTGCAGGATATTCTAAACAACCTAGATGAAATGGCATTTAGGCCTATGACAATGTTAAAAAGAAGCATGGGTCATATATGATTTCTTTTGTATCATTCCTGACATACAATAAAATACTATTTGAAGATATATTTTATATCTGTGAGTTCAATCAATTTCATCAAAGAACACAGATGGAGATATTTCAGCGTGCCAAAAAGCGAGGACGTTCACTACATTTACCATCATGCACTTGTGTAACAACACGGAAGTTCTTTTTTGACGACCGCTACAACTACTGTACTAATGTTTATGAAATAGAAGACTTTTGGTGCTGAGGATTTTATTAATACAGGTACGTTATTAAATTAAATTAGCTGTACATGTGAAATATGTGTTAAAAATATAGATTCGCACGTGGCATAATGTCATTCCATGTTTATTATTGTCCTAGCTTACTTGACATTTAAATCAAGTAACGTTAAGCGTTATACAACGAGTTGGTCACATACATTCCACTTACCTTTTCAAGTTTTACTCAAAACAAACAGCCTTAAGACGTAACAAAACTGTGATTTAACTGATTTGGCTATTTTAATCGTTACGTTAATAACGTAATAATTGACTTTAAAGGTCGAAAACCATTGAATGTAATGGACAATATGTTCAGTAATGTTATAATGATGAATTAATTCCATACACTTTTAAGGCCGTGCACAGTCAACTATTAGGCCACTGTTCATTTTAACAGTATCTTTGCTCCAGTAATGGAAGCATGCATATTATTTTTTTACATATATGTAATTTTTAAAGCATATTCAAATGTATTCATTAATTATTCACAACTTAATTAGTACATATTCTATATTTCAGACCATAACATTTAATGGTAAAAATGATTGAATGGTTGACAAACTATTGTGCAGAATATTGTGTTGTTGATAAAGAGTTGTTTGTTTTTATCTGCTGTTGTATGAACAGGTCTGTAGATGCTGTTGCCATGGAGATCCCTGCCTCCACATGTGGCAGTGGGAAGATGTGCTTCTACAATACAAGCCACTGTACAACGATTTGTTCCTGCAAGTGGCTCAATTGACTCCAGTGCTTTGGAACAACTCCAGGCCTTTGTGTTACAGGCTTCGCGGCTGTTTGTGATTAGCGGTGCCGGACTGTCCACTGAATCTGGAATTCCAGACTATAGATCAGAGGGTGTGGGACTGTATGCACGGACTAACAGGCGGCCTATGCAGCACTCAGAGTTTGTGCGCAGTGCAAAATCGAGGCAGCGATACTGGGCACGGAACTACGTGGGGTGGCCGCAGTTCTCTTCACACCAGCCTAATTCAGCACATTTAGCATTACGGGACTGGGAGGAAAAGGGAAAATTGCACTGGCTTGTCACTCAGAATGTAGATGCCTTACACTTAAAGGCTGGACAACAGAGACTTACCGAACTTCATGGATCTACACACAGGTAACTAGATCTACACAAAGGTCTACACACAAACAGTCAAGTCACCTTTATTTCACTAACGCTTTATACAATGCAGATCGCTTCACAGTAATACATAAGAAAATAACAGAATCAGTGATGCAAACTTCATCAAATATTAGACTAATTCAAATTCTGCTGTAAAGCAGCTATAAAATAAAATATTATTCAGCTCAATAAATATATTGATAATGTTTTATTTATAAAGCACCTTTCCCTGGCTGAAGGTAATACAGGCATAATGTGATGTTGTATGTTGAATAGTATTGGACCAAGAACGGAACCCTGAGGAACACCTTGAGTGAGAGGAGAAATGGAAGATTTGAAGTTGTGAATAGAAATAAATAATTGTCAATTAGTGAGATATGATGTAAACCATGAAAGAGCTCAAGTCAGTTCAGTGTTGGTTCAGTTCAGTTCAATAACCGTGTAAAATTAATCAATTATGAAACCAATTAAATTTCAGCTATAAAGCAGCTCTACAAAAAACAATAGTGTTATCATCCAGCTCAATTTAGTTTAAGTTTTTTGATATCCGATAGTGTCAGTGTAGTCAAATCTATGACAGCACAGCACAGCACACGCTTAAAGTCAGCATGAAACAGAAGTTTCAGGTCTATTATGACATAAATCCGAGTGAAACGGCTTCTCAAACAAGAAAAATGTAGGGTGGGACTTGATTTTTTCCATCAGGAATTGATTGAATTGTGTCGTTTTCTGTTGCTGCGATCTCTGACAGGTTGATCCCGAAACCTTTAAAAAAATAATAATAATAATTTTGATTTCATGGTGACTTTAATGATCATTGATTACAGCGTTAAAAGGGATGTAGAGTCTAAGAGGAAAAAGCTATATGTTCTTGCAAATTTATGTTTCGCCTAGGGTTGTATGTTTGGACTGCGGCCAACTGACTCCACGTGCCGAGCTTCAGAAGCGTTTTGCAGCTCTGAACCCTGGCTGGGAAGCAAGTGCATGTGCTGTGGCCCCGGATGGAGATGTGTTTCTGGAGGATGAGCAGGTGTTGAACTTCAGAGTACCTGCATGTGATGCCTGTGGCGGTGTACTCAAACCTGAGGTGACCTTCTTTGGTGATGTAGTGAACCGGACTACAGTTCACTTTGTGTATAACAAGCTGGCTGAGTCTGATGCAGTGCTTGTGGCTGGATCTTCTCTTCAGGCGAGTAATGTTTCATCAATATCAAAAACATTTACTATGCACCTAGAACAGGGTTACTCATTCCTACTCACTAGAGTGAAACCCCCAGGATTATAATAGTTAACTAAAACTATAAAAATGTACGTTACTTGAAATAAAATAAACATTAACTCAAATAAAATATATATATTTTTTATAAATATAAAATATTTTTTACAAATCAGCTTGTTGCAAAGGTAACATTTCTCACAATTTAGTTTAACTTGATTTACTAAAATAACTAAAACTTAAATAAAAAATAATAAACTGGCATATTAATATACAGACATTTTTTTTTAAACTAATAAAAATGACAAAAATGGGGTCACCGAACCACTCCATGCCCTTAAATGAACACCCACACACACACACTAAAAAAATATTTATTTGTCTTTGCATTTTACCTCTTTTCTAGCTTCCTTCCTAATCTAGTTGTCCAATAAACTTTACATTGTATATTATAAATATTGTTGGCTAAATTGCTTGACATGATTTTGTTCCTCTTTTGCGAGTTGCTTTGGATCTGCTAAATGCATAAATGACAAAAACATGCAACAAAGTTACTAAAACTTTAAAATTAAATTAAAATGGAAACTATATAAATAAAAGCTAATTCTAAATGTTAATAAAAAACTATAATAGTATCTCAATGATACTATTATACCTACCCCAACCCTACTCCAGTGCACCTTGTTCTAATTTTCAAATAAACAAATTAAGAAGTTCTTAAGTAGTTGGTTCTGGTGTGTTTGACAAGAGTTTAAACTAGTTAATGAGTATCCCTGACCTATAGATAAGGCAAATACTTTTCTCTTCCTTGACTTTTGGGAAAGTGGAGGTATCTGGTTTCCTTTTTCAGGTTTTTTCTGGATACCGCTTTCTACTTGCTGCTAGTGAAAGAAAACTTCCAATAGCGATGGTGAATATAGGACCTACAAGAGCTGATCATCTCACTGACATCAGGGTGAGTGCTCGTTGTGGAGAAGTGCTGCCAGCCATTCAACTCAACTGAGAAACAGACTCTTTTCCTTGAAGCTCTTCTGAACCTCAACACTCCATCCACAGCTCATCACAAGATTACTGGAACATAGTTTTGGTTTGGTTCTAGGCTGCTTGCATAATACAACAGATCTCTACCTCAAATTACTAAATTTAACATATTCACACATTCTTGGTTAGTTAGCTAGAGTTTAAAGTGCAATACAGAATAAAGCATCGGTACAAATGAGTTGTTTAAATTATATCTTTAAAATGATAAAGTGGGTTTATAGGGACATCTGCAATCCCATGTAGAATGCACTCTCTGAAAAGTTACCCTGCTCATCAAGAATCAATGTGGGAAACATTCATGGTAATGATGATATTCTAAATGATATGGATACTACAACTTGTTTTTATTTAATAATGGTAGTTTTGTTAAATATATCAATCACTATTATTTATATATTTTGATTACGAATATAAATATAAGTGAATGTATCAGGATGTTTTTAAAATGTTAATCATTTGTTCTGCCTGACAATAAACCTCAAATCATACCAATTGTATTATAGCCCTTTTCACAAAACACATTTCAAAACGATAATGTGAAGGTTTATAATATCTTAATATCTTCATGCCTATCGTCACTTTTTGCAGATTAAAGCTGTTATAATATAGTTTACATTTTATGATGATATAAACAATCAAGCAGTTGAGATTTGGTATAGTAGTATATATTGTATACTGTGTATGCAGATAAAGTTGGAATTTGAAAAGGACATTTATTTATTTTTACTTTTTTATACATTACTGTGTGTACTGTATAAAAAAGTAAAAATAAATAAATGTCCTTTTCAAATTCCAACTTTATCTGACATATTTTAAGATATATCATTGCAAGTTGCTTTCAGTCAAACATGCATTTTAGTCCGGGACTAGGCTTAAGCCTTGTCTGTGAAACTGAGGGTAAAAATGAAGCTTCAAACATTAAACTGAACAAACGTTTCTGATAAAATACATATTTACAATTGTAACTGACAAAATAACAATAATAAAAAGAAACAAATCAGGTTTATTCAAAGGGTCACAGAGGGCAAAGTGATGGCATCCCTAGAAAAGCAGAGATCAGTCAGAACTGTCTGTTTGTTAAATCTCTCTCTCAAATGCTCTGTCCACCGTTGCATATGACTTTGCACTTCTGACCACAGCTCCTCAGGAACACTAAATGAATAAAGACAACAGCGATGATTTATGTCGTGTGTTTGCCATGTGATCCAAACAGTGCACACCACCAGTGGTGTCATACAAAGACAGTTCCCAAATCCCTTAGTTTGGTCAAACCAGTAGGTGGCTGGATAACCTAACAGGATTCCAAAGAGAGTACACAAGTTCCAGTCATTATACAACTCTTCTCCCAACAGAATCACAGAGGAGCCTTTGTCCATCTCATTCATGTAGACTCCTGAAAGACTTTTGATCATATCCTCAGTTCTCTTTTCCAAGCCAGCCAAGACAGGTTGTTTTCTTGAGGGACATACGTCAATTAGAAGGAGACTTTTGCTTTTGAGCAGTTCATCCAGGTGGGACTGAACAGTGGCAGGGTTAAAAATGAATGTGTTGTCATCAATGGACAGTATCCGTAGTGAATTGGTTACAACTCCATACTCCTGCAGTGAACTGAGGTACAGGTGAAGCTGTTCTGGAGATGCTGCATTACTGTCGTACAACAGCGCAGGTTTGACGCCCAGATCCACAGCCATTATTTGAACAGTCACGTCAAGACATGTAGACGGAGATAAACGTTTCTTACGAGGACACAATAGCTTCTGTGCGGCCGAAATGAGCATTTCTCTGGCAACCATTGCACCCCTTTCTATGGACACATATAATTAAAAAAATATATTTGTTGACAGCAGGACACACAATATAAATTGTTCAGTACTTAATTAAAGAAGGCTCACATTCTAGCATTGGTCAGGTCCATAGTAGTGGTGTTGTTGAAAGACACATTTTTATCGACTCCGTGTTAACGAATCGAGTAAATGGTTCATTGAATTGTTCATAACACAAAATATTTATGTTGCATACTGGCAGTGTAAAAACGTAACCTGCAAAAAGAGCACTGAACGAATTTTTTTGTTGAAGGTGATTCAAAAGATTCGATTCACTGGGATGAATCAAAATCCCATCAACATCCTGTAAAAAGTTTAAAAAAGTTAAAAGTGCTTAAAAATACAATTATGAAACAAATTGAACTTGAACATAGATTTAGTCTCGGCTCAGTGTTTTATTAATATTTTGAATATTTGTAAAATAACGCGAGTCGTCCATTTCCAAACAAAGCGTTACTTAGAAACGTCACCGAAATACACGGACTTTAATTTTGAAATGTCTGTAAAAACGGAAGTATATTTTATTTGACAACTTGTACAGTTGTGAAATACCATGTTAAATACCAAATGGCAAATACTACTAGTGCAGAATCATAGTATAAATATCTGTACAATGAAGCGAATGCAGCGCTTATTTTTCACCGGCGATTTTGTTGTTAGTGATTTTAAATAGTTGTGTTAAAAAAGTAAGTTCACAATGGGCTCAGAAGATGTGCTCAAGAGTGCTTCAACTCTGGCTTCTTATAATGTCCTGCTTCAGGTACGATTAATCAACGTGTACGCACATACAGACACTAAATACACCTTTATCAGAGACATTTAATAAAGTAGTATTCCTCTTGAAATGCTTTATATTTCAGGTGATGTTTCGAGTGTTGACATTTCTCTTGAATGCATTTACTTTGCGGTTCGTGTCCAAGGAGCTGATGGGCGTGGTAAATGTCAGGTGGGTTTACAGTTACACAATATAAACTCGAATATTCGTTTAAATGGGCCTTGGCCACAAACTGCAACGTTTGCTTTTGTTACAGGTTGATGCTGCTCTATTCTACACTGGTGTTTCTGTCTAGGGAGGCGTTCCGGAGGGCGTGTCTAAGCGGTGAAGGGGCGGGGCGTAACTGGAGACAGGTCATCAACTTGTTATGGCTCACGTAAGTACAAGAAATTAAATGTTAATAAAAACTATAATAAAAATAAATGATACTTTATTTTTAAAATTGTATTGCTCCCTAGCTGCTAAATCTCATATTCATCATAGTTCATCAAGGCCCCTTTCTGTTCATTTTCATCCTTTTGTTGAAGCCATCTGCTTGCATTATTTTATCTTTTTTTTTTTTTTTTAATAATCATGTTTAACAGCTGAATTCGTGGTGAACAACTACATTACCCATGATGTTGTACGAAAATTCCACCAATTAGAGATTCACAGACAGCAACTTGCATAAGGAATATTTCCCCTGAAAATTAAAATGTTGTTTCTTTGACTTTCTTCTCAAACTGGCAGATTTCCTCTGGGGTGTGTGTGGGGTGTGTTATTGGTATGTGTGTGGTGGTGGGTGCTCCAGGCACCTGATCCAGAGTCCATCCCGCATTATGTCCCCGCTGTTGGATTGTTCTGCCTGTCTGCACTTACAGAGCTGCTGGCTGAACCTCTTTGGGTTCTTGCACACGCGCACATGTTCGTCCGTTTGAAGGTGTCGGAATCTGCCTTTCATACTTGAAATTGCAATTCAGAATCATTGTAGATTGAATAAGAAGAAACTATCTGATCAAATGATGCATTTTCACAGGTGATTGCAGAAAGCTTGGCCATGATTGCTAAATGTCTTGTTACGGTAGTGTTGGTGGTCTCAGCGCCTCAATGGGGGCTCTATATCTTCTCTGCAGCCCAGGTATGTACTGTATGTTTGCATACTGAACGTATACAACATCTATAGTTTTCGGTTGCAATGCCTTTCAGTTTGTAATCTCAATTCTGTGTGTTTTTCATTTGACAGTGCGTCTATGCAGGGTTTTTGCTCCTTTGTTATGTGTTATACTTCATCCATTTCCTTGGCTCAGAGGAAGCAGACAAGAAATTGTTCCCTGTTCGTCACATAACAGACCTTCTGCCATCTAGGATGGATCACGAGGTGTGACTTCTTTTACAACACAAGGTCTGCTGTAGACTTTTTTTTTTTCAGTGTAACAACTTTGCTGTATATTTGTTTTTGTTTTTAGCCACTGCTAAACTGGAAGTTGACCACACTAACCTGGAGCTTTTTCAAACAGTCATTTCTTAAACAGATACTTACAGAAGGTAAGTGCCCATCATGCTCAATTACGTAGTACTAGTAGTAGTAATTGTTTAAATGATGTTGATAAATATTTCATTTTGATTTTATAGGCGAGCGTTATGTGATGACTTTTTTGAATGTGCTTAACTTTGGAGACCAGGGTGAGTTTGTACATTCATAAACACAAGCTACACTGCTTGGTCAAAAAAAAAATTGTGATTCTATTTCCATAAAGAGATGCATCAATTTTTTATCAAGAAAGATCTTGTATTGACAATGCAAGAGTCCAGCAAAGTAAAGTCTACTCCAGCACATCCCAAAGACTTTCAATGAATTTAAGGTCTGGACTCAGAGGTGCCAATTCATGTGTGAAAATGATTCTTCATGCTCCCTTCAACCTTTCTTTCACAATTTGAGCCTGATGAATCTTGACATTGTCATCCTGGAATATGGTCATGATGTGTCTTCCTACATGGTTGTTTAAGAAATGAAAAGCTACACACTCCATCAATTAGTGTTAGAAGAACTGTTGCCAAGCAAATAACATGCTAGAAACATAATAATCACTGCAATAATGATCCAATCATAGACTCTTAAGCATTTGCCTATTTAAATCCAAACAGCGACTTTCTTTTTTGGCCGGGCAGTTTATTATATTTTATTACATATTATACTATTACATCATATTACCCTTTGCTTTTCTTTTCTTTTTTACAGGGGTTTATGATATAATAAACAATCTGGGCTCAATGGTGGCAAGATTTCTTTTCTTGCCCATTGAGGAGAGTTTCTATGTGTTCTTCGCTAATGTCCTGGAGCGTGGACGAGATGTACGACATCAAAAACAAGTCAGTATCTGTTTATGGTCATAACTTTAGCCAGCCAGATGTGGGTTGGATAATTGTAAAATGCTGATTGGTTCACAGGAGGAAGTTTCCATGGCAGCTGAGGTACTGGAATGTCTTTTGAAGCTGGTGCTTTTGATTGGTCTGATCATCTCAGTTTTTGGTTATGCATATTCTCATCTAGCACTTGATATCTATGGTGGGGAGCTTCTGAGCAGCGGAGCCGGTAAATCACAAATATGCTTATACTGGATACCTGATTTGACTAACTTTTCAGTTCAAATAAATACATTTTTATTTGTGTGTGTGCCATAAAAGTTTAAATGGTTTGTTTGTGTATTTTGCAGGGCCAGCTCTCCTACGGTGTTATAGCTGTTATGTTCTGCTGTTAGCTATTAATGGAGTAACAGAGTGTTTTGTTTTTGCTGCCATGAGCAAAGAGGAAGTTGACAGGTGAACAACACATAATTACTATATATACACTACTGTTCAAAAATTTGAGGTCTATATAATTTGTTTTTTACTGTTGTCAAAAGAAGTCTATTCTGCTCACCAAGGCTGCATTTATTTGTCCAAAAATACTGTAAAAGCAGTAATGTTGTGAATTTTTATTACAATTTACATATATATAATACAAACCATTTCAAAGCAGCCTCAGTGTTAAATAGAAAAAATAATGATCAATGATGCAAACAGAATTCAATAAAAAAAAATACAATTGTGTCTTTTTTTTTTACTTACTGACCCCAAACTTTTGAACTGGAGTGTAGAATATTTTATTTTTTGAAACATAAATATATTTAAAAATGTAATTTGCTAAGAAATTGTTTAAACAAGATTCTCTCTCTCTCTCTCTTTAGATATAATCTAGTGATGCTGGGGCTGTCGGTCTCTTTTCTGCTGCTTTCGTATTGGCTAACCTGGATGTTAGGAGGCATTGGCTTCATTTTGGCAAATTGCTGTAACATGGCTTTACGAATCACTCACAGTATTGTTTACATACATCGCTATTTCCTGCAAAGTGAATGCGCACCGCTGTGGGGGCTCCGCCCACATTCTGCTGTCATTATTGCCCTTGGAGTGAGCGGTATCCTCACAGGCTTCTCAGAGGTATCTTAGCCAGCGACTCATTGTTTACATTTAAATATAGATAATGTTTTGATGAACAAATTCAAATCTGATTTGAAACCATTTTGTCTTTCAGAGCATGTTCTGCTGTGATGGTGGCTGGTTGCTAAGGCTGGTTCATGTTGCTGTGGGGGCGGTTTGTCTCCTGAGTGTGGTCATCACAGTATTTCTAACAGAAACAAAACTTGTGCAGTTTGTCAAAACTCAGTTGCTACCCAAATACAGCAAGAAACTTACATGAGCTTTTACTTTGAAAACACATAAACCTTCCCGAGGTGAGGTTGACACTAACATGTTATGGACCAGATTTTGCCTCGAGTTTTTAAAACTGTGTGTAATATTCTACAAACACATTTTGTTTTCTTAAAACAATGGGAATGTTTACTCCAGAAGACGCAGTACCTCTATGTTCAGTTTTTGCTAATGACATCAAAAGAAGTTCACTTAGATGCTGACAGTTTGAAGGTTCTTGTCCATACCTTATAGAATATTTTATTGTTTGATTACAGAACAAACACACAGAATATTGTAATGTTATGCAAATATATTAAAGGGTCCCTCGGTATGTAACTACTGCTCCAATGTGCCTGTCATTCATTTATCTCCAAGAAATACATTATGGTTCTTCGTATTTAATGCTTGTTTTAATGAGCATACCAAAGGTGTACATTGACCAAATATTTTGTAACATTGTACCTTTTACATGACATACTAGATATACTATAGCTGTGTAAATCAGTGGTGAACTTTGCATGTCTTTATGACAAATTTATGATTGTCTTTGAAAGACTGGAAAATATAGTCTACTCTTCTAATATTTGGGTACAAATAAAACCGTTACCTGAATGTACTGTTTTGTGACTTTGATTTACATACAATACCCTTATCTAAGGTCATTGTTTTTTTTTATTAAAGAAATGAATATTTTTATTCAGCAAAGATTTAAAAAATGGTAACACTTTATAAGGTCCCATTTGTTAACATTAGTAAAATGCATTAGCTAACATAAAATAACATTGAAAAAATGAGCAATATACATTATTAAAGTGTTTATTAATCTTCGTTAATGTTAGTAAAAATATAATTGTTCATGTTCACAGTGTATTAATTAATGTTAACAAATACAACTTAATTTTAAAAATGTATTAGTAAGTGTTAAAATTACCATTGACTATCCTCAAAGTATTCATTGTTAGTTAATGTTAACTAATATAGTTAACTAATGTTAACAAATGAAAACTCATTGTAGTGTTACTCATGAAAAAAATCAGATGTGACAGTAAATATTTTTACATTATTAGAAAAGATTTCTATTGAAATAAATGTTCTTTTGAACTTTTGTATCCTGGGGGAAAAATGTATTAGTTTCTACAAAAACATTATTGGAAAGCACAAATGTTTTCGACATTGATAATAGCAAGAAATGTTTCTTGAAAACTAAATCAGTATATTAGAATGATTTCTGAAGGATCATTTAACACTGAAGACTGGAGGAATGATGCTGTTTGAATGGTTCACAAACCAGTGAAAACGACTAAGAAAGTTCAAACATTAGGACAGCTGTAGGTATAAAGACTTAACAATGGCAGGACATAAAGTAAGTCCTAATTACCTCTCAATAAAACGTATGTCATTCTAATGGAATACGCAAGAGAGACAAATTAACATTCACAAACAAGCACTTAGCAACCCTCAAAACACCAAACACAGCAGTGTACAAATAAACATTTGCACTCCAACATAAGCAATAAAGCAGATACAAGACACAAACCATAAACTGTTTTCATTTCTGAGCTGCTGGAACTAATGGAAGTACTGAAGATGTCATCCTTAAATAACCATGTGTTTGTTTATAGTGACTGATTAAATGGGAGGAGGAACCATGTGACTCATGCTTTGGCCAAAGGAATTATGGTCCATTTGGGATTGGACTCGGCAAGGGAAGGGTGTGAACGTGTGTATAAATGCACATCCAACAAGTATAAAACAGAGAAACTTAAGCAAGACTTTAAGACATCACAACTGATTTGGAGAGTTGACCATGTCTCAAGTAAGAGAAAGAAGAGACAATGAGAAGAAATAAAATATCCTTTTGCTTATCATTCATTTTCTGTTTCTCTTCAGCAGGGTGAGGAAGAGGAAGTTAAGAGGCCTGAGGTGAAAGCGGAGGATTTGATTGGAGCCAGGGATAAACTAGCATTTGGAACAGAGGTGAAGAGCAAGACCTTTGAGGTGATGCAGGAATGCGGTGAGTCGAGTAGCAACTGTTAGATCAGCAGAAACTGTAACAATTCAGTTGGAAGGTAGTGTGATGAAATGTGACTGAATCCTAGTGTCCCTATTTTTTTATTTTGGGCCAAGAGGATAAAGAATAGCTGTGTGTGAGTGTGTGTGTGCTTGCATTTTATAGTGTTTCCACTCCATATATAGCAGGAAGTCAGAACACACAAACACAAAGACACAAAGAGAGGACACTCCGCTAGTCACTCTTGTTGTGCAATGTTTATTGTGTCTTATGCGTTTATATTGACTAATTTGTGTTTCTGACTTTTAGCCCTGAAGATAGTCCTTGCATTTTTATTTGCCTTTTATAATCTCGACTTTAAGATTACAGTTGTAACATTTTACAATGTATTAATTTATGTCTATTGTAGAAACAGACTATCAATGTTAACTTGAATATGAAAATGTTGCACGTATGACATTATCGAAGACTTAAAAGATTGGGTAACACTTCACAATAAGGGTCAATTAGTACGGTAATTGGATTAACTAACAATAAGCACTTTTATAACACTTTTTATTAAACGTTGTTAACATTAGTTAATAACAACTGTTAATTCATGTTATCTCAGGTCCATTAAAAATTAACAACCTTTGATTTTAATAATGTATTAGTAAATGTTGAAGTGAACATGAACTAAGATTAATAAATGCTTTAAAAGTATTGTTTATTGTTATTAGTTTAGATTAACTAATGTTCACAAATGAACATTATTGTAAAGTGTTACCAAAGATTGTGTATACCATTAATAAATACTTTGTTTCTTTCCATGGGAAGTTTGTATTTTACAGTATATATTTAATGGTTTATTCACTCAGTTATTAGTTAAAATTTGGTTTGTGTTCTGTCAGTTCAAACATGTATATTTTACATAAATGGAGCACTTTGTATTGAGGTAACTGAAATTCAAATGTGTAGGATGTTGTGTGTAGTTTGTATTATTGTGTATTCTCTGTCTCTTTGTTAGAACAAGCTGGGAAGGTCGCGCCGTCCGTCTTCAGCAAAGTTCGCTCAGGATCTGAGACTGCCTTTAACAAACCCAGCAAGAGAAAGTAACACTGTGGGACCATACACTACATTTTTTTTCACTGAACCGTACAGCTAAAAACATGTTAAGGTGCATTTCTAAATGAATCTAAAGCATTAACATTGAAATAACAGTAGATTTTATTTGAACAGGTATTTAACTAACATGTCAGTTTTGTCACAACAGCACAGCTAAACAATATTAGTAGTTTTGAGACTGAATGCAAAGTCTGATCTTAAGAACACCATAAAATGTATTCCACTTTTTAAAAAAAAGGCTTTAAATAAATAAAACTGAACTGTACTTTTTGACAAATATCCTTGAATGCTATTTTGATCTAAATGGAATCAGACAGCCGGATACTACCAATTTATTTTGGTAAAAAATAATAATTGTTTGTTGGTTTAGTTTTATATTAAAAAGAAGTTGAATATTTGATTTTGTGTGGAAATTAAATATGTCATAATAAAACAAATTCAATTCAAACCCATTTATATTTCACATTACTATCAAAAAAATATTTATTTTCACAACAAAACAAAAAAACAAGGACAATGGAGTACTTATCCTACAGGAGAATAACAAAAGTGGGGGATAAAAGCCGGTTGAAAGCATGTTATTAACGAAGAGACTGTTTTCTTTCCTGTTCTCGTTTGATATTTGTGACTAACAGCAACTGACACAATTAGGTAGAACAATACAGTAGCCATGGTACATCTGGCATGGTACATCAAGCCATGGCTTGGTACATCTGTCATACTGTTATAATATCATGACAAATGTGAAATAATCAACCAGTAAAGCAAACCACAGCAGGGCGTACAGAGAAAGCGAGAGAGAGTTATTTCATAAACTTGGTGTGCTGATCTTGTAGGATTTTTGCAGAGGACTTTGCATCATAGAAGAGTTCATTAATTTCTTCCACATGTTCTTTTTCGACTACTTCCCTCCCCTGAACTCGTGCCAACAGATTGGCAGGTGTCAGCAGCTGCACTGCATATCTGCATATCATTTACACAAAGACACACACGTTAGCCAACATTACATAACCAAATTGTGTAAATTATAAATTCACAATAATGAATAAGTGAGAATGCAGGTAGCAAGGCACAAGTAAATATGACACATTTCAATCGAATCTATATTAGGATATAAGTAACGTTATGAGTGGTGTGTATGTTCTCGCAGTAGCAAGTATTACCTGAGTGTAGTCTTAGTACCGATCTCTCCAAGGTGAGATAAAGAATCCTCGCTGATGTTGAGGCCCTCTGTCTGAGCTCGGATCTTTATGATCTATAGAAACATGCAAATTAAACAAAAATGAGAAATGTATACTTCATCTTTTATATAGCTTATTTTGACAAAAATGTGTATGCACACCTGTTTCATTTCTTGAGGAGTGTACAGCATAGTTCTGATAATCATGACTCGATCCAGCAGATCCAGTGGAATTCCATGAGGAGAGCTGATGTCCTCTGTCCCCCTAAAACAGAATTATGCATATCTGTAAACTTGTCAATCAACTCCATTACCAATCAAATGGATCATTCTAACAGTTGGTCACAGCAAACTGCAAAATCAAACTAATTCCAATATTGTTAAGGTTTATTAAAATATAATCAGATATGCTTAAGTTTGTTAACATTATAAATACATTTAATATGAATATGATTAAAAATGAACATTTAACAACATTCATCTTTTATTATCTACATATAGTAATATATTTTTAATGAGTTCTACAAGTTAACATTAATGTATTATGAATAAAGATGAAATAACAATGAACAATACATTTATAAATAAACGGCAACAATTTACAATTACATTTAATTTTTTTTACATTAAAGTAACAATGAAAAATACTTCTAAAGCGTTTGTTTATATTAATTTCAACATTGATTAATATATTAAAATCTGTTCTGCATTTACCAACAGACCTGAGCTAACATTAATGGTATTTTATTATTAACTAAATCATTAATAAAGATGAATAAATACTGAAACAAATGTATTGTTTTTTGTTAGTTAATATTAGGTAATGCATTAACTAATGTTAACCAATGGGATGTTATTGTAAAGTGTTACAAAATAAACATGAACCTAAAATAAATTATTCATAAATGCTGTTCATTATTAGTTCATACCTAATGCATTAATTAATGTTAAAGTTCCACTCTTATCACCTCATTTTTCAAAGGCCCTGTTTACACCTGGTATTAAGATGTGTTTTGGTCATTGGATCAAAAGTGGACGACGCTAAATACAGGTGTAAACGGGGTCTAAAACATTTGGAGTTTGTCCACTTCCAGAGGTAGCCGAAAACGCATTCGACCGGATAGCAAACGCTCGTGGTCAAATGTGTTAACAGCCACAAAAGACCACCTCCTCTCCGCCTACTGACCTAATGCGTAAACATTATTGGAAGCACGTTGACAAGACAGGATTTATACTTTGTTGGCTGAAGACCAAAGTTTGGTTTAAAGACCAAAAATGTACCAAGCACAATGTTCTCTCACCATTCCTGTATTCACCACACCAAATATATTTATAAATAAACGGCAACAATTTCCGTAAGATTGTCGGTCAGGAAAATAATCTAAATTAACAAAATGCTCTCATTACAATTCTCCACCAGATTTACATATAAACTGAGCTAAGACCTGATGTGAGATTTGATCGAAGCCACCACTCACGTCCATATTGATAAATGGCAAGTAACGATCGTACACCCAAATTTCTGTTGTACGTTCATTTTGTAAATGAGGGAGAATAACTTTTTGTTGTGCACTTTGATCTTTGCAGACCTTTTACATTCACATTAAAGGTAAGATTTGAAAAAGCATAATTGGGGCACTTTAACTAATTGAACATTATTGTAAATGTGTTACCTAAATAAATATCCTACAATTTTACAAAACTGTGACAAAGCTATTTGACTTTAAACATAACCTACATTTCCCACCAAAAACCCACCTGATAAGGCAGTTTCCTCGATTGGATGCAAACACTACGATCGGAGCGATGGAGCTCTCCAGTGCTCGGTGCAGGTAGGTAAAACACTCAATGTCCAGCATGTGAACTTCATCAATAAACAGAACACCAGGAACCAGCTCTGCCACACCCTGTTCAATGTATTTATTCACAACCTTATTGATCTCTGCTCGCAGTTTATCTGTATACAGAATACACAAACGCAAAGAAATGGTTAAACATGGCCTTATTAAGAATCCTACTATGATTATCAGTATATAAAAATATTAACCATGTTACCTGTGATTTCTGTCTTTTTGGGCTTCATCAGTTGACCCATCATAGAAAGTAAGTCCTGGCCTCCCTAGAAAACCCAAGACACTGATATTATTAGAATCATGGAGATCCACTTAAAAAGCTGGATAACATGATGTTCGTGTGCACGTACCTGAGGTCTTGCATTAGCAACATCCAGGTCATGAAGTGTAACATCCTGAATGATCTCTTTCTTCTTGTGAACATCGCCTTTCGGTAGCGGTACATACTCTTCCGCCTCCAAATCAAACTCTGTTGCAAACGTGTCACATCGTCCCTGCCTCTGCAAACCAAAAACAGAAATACTTATGAATATATATATATATATATATATATATATATATATATATATCGGTATGTTTATTTAAAAACTATATACGTGTACAATACCGTTTAAGTAGTGTTTGGGGTCAGTACGCTTTTTTTAAAATGTTTTTGAAAGAAATCTCTTATGCTCACCATGCAGGTCACACTTTAGTTTAGGGTGCAATTCTCACTATCAACTAGAAAGGTAGTTAAGTTTAGGTATTCGGTAGGATTAAGGGATGTAGAATATGTCCATGCAGAATAAGGCATTAATATGTGCTATATAACTACTAATAAACAGCTAATATCCTAGTAATATGCATGCTAATAAGCAACTAGTTAATAGTAAGAATCGGACCCTAAAATGAAGTGTTACCACTCACCAATGCTGCAATTATTTGATCAAAATACTGAAAATTGTGAAATGTTATTATAAAGTAATATAGATTTTCTATTTTAATATATCTTAAAATGTAATTTATTCCTGTGATGGCAAAGCTGAATTTTCAGCAACATTACTCCAGTCTTCAGTGTCATTATGCTGATTTGGTGCTCAAGAAACCTTTTTTATTATTATTTGCAAACGGTTGTGCGGCTTAATGTTTTTGTGGAAACTGATCCTTTTTTTCAGGAATCTTTGGTGATTAGAAAGTTTAAAAGAACAGATTTAACATTATAAAAATCTATAATCTATATCTAGTCACTTTTGATCAATTTAATGCATCCTTGCTGAATAAAAGTATTACTTTCTTTCAAAAATATGTAAGACAATATTGTCTTTTATACCGCTGCCAGACTACCTGCCCACCTGCACTGACAAAAGATTACTTCAACATGCCAAGCGCAGATATAGGCCGGAGAGAGAATGATTAAGCAAATCCGTCCATACCTTGACTGCCCCACTGTTAGCCTCGATGTAGATAACATCACCGACCTCCACTCTCTCCTTCTGCAGACTTTCATAGATACTGGGATCCAGCTGCATAAGCATATCAAACGCAATGAGATATAACTTATAACTTTAAACAGATGTAAAACAGATGCTGCTTTTTTACACAAAAGCAGCACTCTTTCACTTCCTTACTTTCAACTGTTTGGTGCCCTTTGCCGTCTTTAAACCAATAATGACATGACTGATAGTTTTGCCATAGCCCCCCATTGGGTTCTCCGTCTCACAAGGAGTCAGTTCAGTGACCTCTCCTTCATACACCTCTTTAGTCTCCTTGATACGCAGACCTGAATGCACAAACAAAATAAGAAATTTAGATACAAAAAAGAACAGAACATGTAAACAATGCTAACTAATTACTAGTGGATCTATCAATTAAACACCAACAGATTTTTTTTAAATATTAAATACTTGCGTCTATTCACTTGCCCATGCCAGTATATTTCTGTCAACGTTGTAATAATGCGTGTGTGCATGCATGCATGCCTATCTTACTAGATCACACAGTCCACATTGTTTCAGATGCATACTGTCGGTCTAATATCAGACTATAGTAACCATGTTTCCATCCGCCTATTTTAATGCGAATTTTGGGATATCACATTCAAAGAAAACTCTGGATGGAAACAATTTTTTTTATTCGATAAGAAGACGTCCATAAACTACCATGGAAACACATTTACTGAATAAATGCTTCAATGAGCAACAAAAAAAACCTCGTTTGACTTTGCCTCAACCGAGGATGCAATCGGATAACTGGACCACCAGCGGATCAGATTCATTGCACAGCATCTCAAATTTTGTTTTAGTTATTATGAAATGCCTGTCCCAAAGTCTATCATTAAAATATTTTGGTAAAATGGCCTCCCAGAATTGTATCACATGATTGCATTTACAAACATCAGGCTCCCGAGCACAAGAGAACACAACAGCGTTTATTGCACTTCATCTGCGCACAAGTCATTTGCCAAAGTGGCTTTGCAGAAACTTCCGATTGCAGCTACTTCCATTTTTATTCGATATTTTGCGCCAATTTCCCAGGAAGGGACGATTTTGTTCTCTTGAACACATGGGATGGACACAGTGCTTTATTCACAATGTTTTAGGCGATATTCCAATTATGCACAGAAGTTAAATTTGCAACATAGTATGGAAACATAGCAAGTGTGTGTGAAGAGTTACTAACAAGTTCAAATGTATTTTAATGCATTTCACTGTTTTTTTAATCACATTTTACCTTTACTACTAAAAGTATCTCCTAAAAGAAATTAATAAATGTATTGTATGATATTTTTACAGGTAATGGTACACACGGGTATGTTGTCTGCTCTTGAAGTAGACAAATATAGGTTCTTTGCACGAGAGCTCACCTATGGCTCTTCTGAAGTTCTCCATCAGCACTTCAGTCTTCTTGATTTCTGATGAATACACTTCACTGCCCACCATAGGACAGAACGGCACTTTATTTCCCAGTTCCTGTGCCATGGCCAATGCTAAAGCAGTCTGTGGGGTACAGAAATAAAATGAATAAACCATAAACACTTTCACATACAACAGCTGTGAAGCTCTCAGTCCTTACCTTGCCTGTTCCAGGTGGTCCTGCCAGTAAAATAGCTCTGCCAGCCATCTTTTTGGAACGAATCAGCTCTACAATGATGCCACAAGCCTAATAAAAATGTAAGAATTACCGTAAGTTACCTTTTCTTTTTTTTTAAAGAAACACTTTACAGCTAAACAAGATGTCCTTTATACATTTTTAATGTCAAGTGACTAAATGGCAGGAAATTGTTACAAATATTATTAATAATCTTCAGGATCTGTTATGATCACAACAATATAATCTTAGTGAATGTGAAATATGCATATGCATTTTATATGGCTCATCCTGACACATAAGTTACCATTTAAAATAATCAGGTAAATACAAATTATCAAATTCATTAATCAGCGAAATCAAATGTACTGAATCCCCATTCGCAAACTGGAAAATGCTGAAATTGATCTCTAGGTTACCTCTCTAGCTGTCTCCTGCCCCACTAGTCCGGACGCGGACTGTTTAGCATTACCGGCCTCATCCAGCCCGAGACCCTTCACATGGCTGTGAGATGCGATGCGCTGCGTCTTCGTTGTGCTTTTCACCTCTTCGATCTTCATGTTTCTTATTTGTTAATTAAACGCTCTAAAACGTGAGTAAAACAACTTCAAGCCTAACTCATGAAAGGCCGTTGAAATCAAACACAAGAGACCCGCGTTTCCATGTGGGTAACCAAGGCGATTTGAGGAAGTACCGCCCCTGAAACGGTTTTTAGTCGTTCTTTGTTTCGATTGGTGAATTTGTGGAATCTCTGCTTAATCATTGGATGCCGCTAATGTCTGTATGATCACTGCGAACACGCCCCTATTTCCCATTTGTGCTCCATTTGAAATGTTGTACTGGAACAAAGATAACCGCTGTAGGTTCCACAAATCTCTTTTTCTGTACGAAGTGTAAATAAACTCATAATTATGTATTAAACATGTTGTAAATAATTTAAACCATTTTACTAGTTTATAAATAATTTGATCCACGAGGTATGTTTCTTTTCTAAATAATAATGCTTTGAAGTGGAACCGAGTGTTCCATATGAGCTAAACTGTTTTGTCAGAGATTGTTTTTTGGTAGCGCAGGAAGACCAAATGTCAAATTTCAGAAAAGTTTGCTGAATGCAGTAATGTACTTAGCATGTAATTTAATCTCTCATATCAGAACTAATACGTGAATATTATTAAATTCCACCAAATTAGATCAATTTGGTTTACTGACAGTTTAATATTGAACTGGTTAGGTTGAACCAACAGCGTTGCTGTCAGCAGTTCAAAGTCTGCGCATTCACTTAAGTCTCTGTTACCCAACAATTCCAGTGATGGCAGATTCCAGTCTTCCTAAAACGCTGAACTTTAACGTCGGTGTCCTCGGCCATGTGGACAGCGGAAAAACCTCTCTCGCCCGGGCGCTGAGCAGCACCGCATCCACAGCAGCTTTCGACAAGAACCCCCAGTCCAAAGAGCGCGGCATCACGCTGGATCTCGGCTTTAGTGCGTTTACGGTGCCCTTACCGGAGCACCTGAGACAGTCCTGCGGGGACAGACTATACGACAGTCTGCAGTTCACACTGGTGGACTGCCCTGGACATGCCTCCCTCATACGCACTATCATCGGGGGTAAGTGGATACAAATAACTCGGACAAGGGTTACTCTAATTAAACTCACGATACCAAACTGCATGTTTACAAGTATGAAGAATGCGTGGATCAATATGTATTTAATGGATTATGCAAAACAAAGCAATGCACCACACCTCTTTTAATTTCTAGTATGACTATAATTAGTAGAAGAAAAGCAACCTGTCAAGGAATTTTAAACTTAGTCCAGCACTACAACCTTTGACCAGTAGGTGGTGTGTGTGTGTGTATTATTTTGAAGAGATCATATTAACCATGTAAAGACTGACATAACAATAAATCAGTCAAATAATTTTTAAATAGGCTAGAACAGTTTATTGAACCTTCAGAAAAATATGTTGTGTGTCATATTTGATACATCTTTAATGGTATAGTGAGAATATGGATTTCATACTTGTGGAGGATGAGGCCTAAACTGAACAAAAATATGTCAATTGGTGCAGATTGCATATAATGCAATTCAGTACAATGATGATTGAGAGATAAATAAATGTTCCTCAAAAACCTGTTGATACTTTGAAAAGAAAAAAATCATGTTAAAATGTATGTAAGATTAATCAAGTAAAACTAAGTTTCTTTAGTCCAGTAAATGTCAGTTTTGAAATATTAAAAACAATCTAAAAGTTATTCTTGCATTTACTTCGTAAAAGATTCCCAGCAAAAAGACATGTACCACGACCTGAAGGCCTTTTACTTGATTAAAAATTATGAACTATCAGTTAGTGTGCAGAAGGCATCTAGTAGATCAGGTACAACAGTTTTTTTCCAACAAAGTTATGACAATGTTGGTAATTTAGAGGCCCTAGAAATTCATGTATCAAAAATGATACCATACACTTTATAGGGTTGAAACAAGCTCTCAAATCAAAAGACAAATAGGCTATGCTTTTAATGACAGACTTGTCATGTTACTACAAGACATTAAGATATATCTATTCTACATAGATTAAATAGCATGAGAAGCATCTCATAAGTAATATAAAAGAGGGATTTGTGAAGAAATATAATATGATGTGGAGAAACAATGTCTAAAGGGACCAAACAAACTCAAGAGATCTCAAGTGTAGTGGGAAAGTCTAGTGTAATTGCATTGAGTGTGTGTGTAATGTGTAATGTGTGTGTGTGTAATGTGTAATATGTGTGTGTGTGCATTATGTCACATGTGGTTGATTAAGGCGGAAGGGGGCTGTTCAGGGCTCCGGCTTGACTTCCTCTCTCCCCCAGAGGGGATCTCTCAGGAAAGAATGAGTGCCAGAGAGAGGGAGAGAAAAAGAGGGAAAGGAAAGGCAATAGCCTGGTCTCCTACCTCTCTTATTTTTGGTCTCTTTTTCTGTCTTGCAGTGATGACTTTACTCTGTTATGTTTGTCATTGTTGAACTTATATGTTTTACTCTCATCTGTGTACTTGCATTCAGGTGCCCAGATCATTGATCTGATGATATTGGTGGTTGACGTTGTGAAAGGTATGCAGACACAAACAGCAGAGTGCCTTTTGATTGGTCAGCTCACCTGCTCTCGCATGATCGTCATACTCAACAAAACAGACATGTTGCCTAGTGACAAGAGACAGGCGGCTATTGACAAAATGACCAAGAGGATGCACAAAACTCTTGAGAACACAAGGTAGACACTGTCAACTTAAGCACATGTTTGTTTCACTATATATTCTATATATTATACATTTTGCCAGCTCTATTCTTCTAAATGCAACTATAAGGCATGATGATATTAAGATATTATAACCATTACCAGCATGATGTAAACCTGCTTTAAAAACCATGTGTATTGTGAAAAGTGCTATACAAATAAAACTGACTTGACTTATTTTTTGCTTGTCAGATTTAAAGGGTGTCCTGTAATTGCTGTGGCAGCAAAGCCAGGTGGTCCTGAGGCCCCGGACACAGACGAGCCACAAGGGATAACTGAACTCATAGATGTGAGTTAGTGGGTGTGTTGTCACAGCACAGATTAAAAATCCAAAAGTCGGAGACCACTTTTACATTTTGTAAATTGTTTTATAAATAAAAGTTATGATGTAAAAGTTAAAAATCCTTTACGATATATATATATATATAGAAAACTAAATCAAATTTATGCAAATTTGTGACACTGACCATGATGACAGAACAGATTTCCTTTTTTCCATTGATACATGCTAGATTTTTTTTGGAACATTGTCAAATCATGCTGGATAACATAGATTTTTAGCACAAACTAGTTTATTTAGGACCATATTTTTGAGGTTGTCTCTGATTATGTGTTCAGTTATTGAAGGCCCAGGCCTTCCTTCCTCGTAGAGATCCGTCAGGTTCTCTCCTCATGGCTGTAGATCACTGCTTCTCCATCCGTGGGCAGGGAACAGTCATTACTGGCACCATCTTACAAGGGTCACTCAGTGTCAATGAGACTGTGGAGATACCGGCATTAAAGGTACTTATCTACACACTACAATACAAACACTACACTACAGTTCAAAAGTTTTGGGATGAGTGAGTTTTTTTTTCTTTTTTAAGAAAGAAAGAAATTAAAAATATTTCTATTTCAAATAATTGCTGTTCTTTTGTAAGTTCTAAATAGTATGTTCTGAACTTACTATTCATCAAAGTATCACAGATTTTACAAGCACAACCATTTTCAACATTAATAATAAGAAATGTTTCTTAAGCAACAAACCAGCATAAATGATTTCTGAAGGATCATGTTACACGGAAGACTGAAGACTGGAAATTCAGCTTTGCCATTACAGGAATAAATTACATTTTAAAATATATTGCAACAGAAAAATATTTCACAATATTACTGTTTTTACTGTCAGGCTTGGAAAATCTTACTGAACCCAAACTTTTGAACACTTGTATAAAGTATATACACATGCATCGCAAATTGCACTATAATAGATTCTTATCTTTTTTGAAATTCTCTGACTGTTTCTAAATGATCAATTTCACAATCATAGGTGAACAAATATTTTGCAACATTGGTGTATTGACATGATCAGCTCCTTATTTCTTTCTCTTTTTTTATTCCTTAGGTAACTCGCAAGGTCAAATCTGTGCAGATGTTTCGTAAGCCAGTTCCTAGTGCTATGCAAGGGGATCGGGTTGGCGTGTGTGTGACACAGTTTGACCCAAAACTGTTAGAACGGGGTGTAATATGCACACCAGGTTCATTGCAAACTCTTTACGCTGCTATTATATCCGTCCAAAAGATCGAATACTATCGCGGAGCGCTTAGCAGCCGTGCAAAGTTTCACATCACCGTTGGACATGAAACCGTTATGGCGCGTATCTCATTCTTCAATCGAGTGCTTCCTGGCAAAGAAAATGGAGACTGTAGGCCCACCTCTCAAGAGCAAAGTGCAAGCTCTTTCTCATTTGATTGGGAGTTTCATCACCTGGATGAGTATTTGACTGGTCAGGCAGAAGGAGGGAGAGGGGAACCACAGCAATGGGCTTTACTTGAGTTTGAACGACCAGTCACATGTCCACCACTTTGCTTAGTGATTGGGTCACGACTTGACTCAGATATCCATGGTAACACATGCAGGCTTGCCTTTCACGGAAAGCTTTTGGAAGGGTTTGAGGACAAAAACTACACAGAGACAGCACTGCCTCGACTCAAAATCAGCAAAGATAAGGAGAAAGAAGGAGCAGTGGAACGGGTAACTACAAATATTTATATATTGATAATGTATAAGTGTAAAATTACACATACACAGACTACAGTTCAAAGTTTGAGATCAGTACGTTGACAGTGAAGACTGGAGTAATGATGCTGGAAATTCAGCTTTGCCATCTCAGTAAATAAATTACATCTTAAAATATCTTAAAAATAGAACACTTATTTTAAATTGTAACAATATTTCACAATACTAGAGTTTTTACTCTATTTTTCATCAAATAAATGCAGCCTTGGTGAGCATAAGAGACTTCTTTCAAAAATATTATAAATCTTTACCGACCACAGACTTTTGAATAGTAATGTACATAATATACATGATTTAATTGTGTAATTGATTTCACTATATCTGGGGTCAGGTATTGTTTGATTTTGTTCCTACACAATTCTT